CACCAATTACAAATTGAAGAAGTCACCAAAAAATTGGCCAAAGGCATAAGGAAGACTTAGAATCCATTCACCAAGAGGCCGATTTCGCTTCTGAGGCAACGCAGCGAGCTCCCGAAGCCCGAGCCTCATGCGCCGAGGGCCGCACCACCGGGGTTAAGGCCGGGGCCGCGGAAGGCGCCTGGATTTGGTCGGCTTGGGCTCGGATGTGCTCGCGAGTCCGTGGATGTGTCTGTTTTCGTCATCCGGTTTTTGGTTCTAGTTGGGGGAAGCAAGAAGAAAGCAGCTGGGGAGGTCCTCCAATTTTTGCAGGAGTTGTTCGTCTTGTGAGGCTGTCTCATCACGAAAGCAGTTTGGTTGAATCAGCTGGCAGCATGTGCCACAGGCAAAGGCAATGCCTCCGCCAAGCGGCGGAAACAAAAAACGAGCTGCGCTTTTTACGTCAGAGCTTCACCACAAACGTGCGTCCTTGCTGTTTCTCTCCCTCTCGTGGGCGCCCAGATATATAGTTCGCTTCAAGGCTTCAGTTTGCTTTTCTCGACAGCTACAGGCCGATCCACGCATGATTTCGAGGAGACATCGCACCATCTTTCTTTGGCCCATCCAGAAAGGCAGGTTGTATGAATTAGAATTGAGGCCCTCCTTGAAGCAAAACTGTTCCTCTCCACTTCAGCGCGTGGAGGAAAGTTGATTTCCAAGAAGAGTCAAAGCCCTGGACTTCAATCCAGCTTCAATCGAGTGTCTGAACTGAAGGTGAGGGGAAGCTTTCAGGAGCTGCTTCCAGTGTGTCCCACCATCGGTCTGGTCAGAAGCTGCACCATGCACGCGTTGCCTTGGCAAAGCAAAATGCAGAACCTGCGAGCTGGCGGAGGGATCGGCTGAACTGAGTTGAGCACAAGGATCGGCTGAACCGAAGACGCAAAACATGAAGATGTGCATGCATAGGGTTGGTGTTTCTTCAAAGAAAAAGCACAAGGAAAACCGCCCTTTTGGGCCTTAGGGGGTTTGGTGCTTCAAAGGGAAACCAAAAGGAAAAACCGCCATTTTATGGGTACCCCCCCGCAAAAAAAAAAGAAGACGCACCCAAATTGATCATAGAGGGCTATTGAACTGGAATTATTAGTCTGCACCTCCGGGCAACATTTCAACTTGGGTTTGATAGTCTGTGCTTGTTTGTCTCTTTTTCTTGAATTGCTCTTCTGGAAGTTTGCCCCTTGAGATTCTGCTCTTTGCTCAGCATTGTTTAGGCTCCGCGGGATGGTACTATAGGCGACGTCCAGCCACAGGACAATGCCCCGCTCGCCTTGGAGGTGGCCAACTGCAGCGCTTCCGGCACGGCGCCTGCAGGCTGTGGCGTGTATCAACATGGCTGTGGGAATGGAATCCACGAATCTGTGATACAAAAAGGGCTTCTCAAAGACTCACCCATCTAAAGGGGATCCCGCCCTGTTGCTCAAACCCGAGTTAGCTTTCTCTTTCCGCGTTTTCTGTGGGTTAAATGGAAACCCGACCACCAAACCATCCGAAAAGCTTGAGACTTAAGAAAACCAAGGTACCCGGCTTGTTTTTGTGAACTCCTGGCTTTAAAGCGGATGTCAGCCGAACTCAGCCGAACCTCTCTCGAAGCAACTTGCAAAAGCTCCTGGCCCGGAGTCTCAATCGTCCTTTTCCCCCCGGAGGTGTCAGATTCTGACCCCTCGGCCAGGGCTGAAATGCATTCCTGCACAATTAACTTAAGAAGCACGTATTGCCTGGGCGTCCAATGACCCTCTTCCGGAAGGACACTTGGTGAAAAATCCCGATAGAGGGCTGGGTTGAAAGGAACACCAAAGGCACACCAACCATGACTAACTACTAGTACCCTTCCTCCCACTAACATAGCATCTGTGGTGGGTACCTGGAAGATCAGATTCCTCTTCAATGAACACCCTGTCAGGTGCCATGGGAACGTGGGAGGAAGGGTGTTTTGATATTGGAATTTTTAAGACAACCCCTCCCCTAAAGTTTATGCAGCTAACCTTTCCAATGCTTGATTCTCATTTATTTATTCCATCGTTCTCTTTAGAAACCACCTAGGTTCCAGTGGTTTGGAAGAGAAGGATCCCTGAAGAGAATGGGGAGGGTACAGCTAGAACATGTTCTGCTTCGCTGTATGCTTCCGTGTTATTTTCTCTCTACCCCGGATGTGGGCCAAGCCTCTCTCTCTGTGCCCAGTAGCTGATGTGAAAAATGCATGCGGCACATGTGTTGCCTCTTTCCCAATACGCCCTGGAAAAAACATCAAAAAACATACTTCTAGTAGTGAAGTCGATTCCCTTTAACACCAGAAGAACAAATATATATATATATATATATATATTATAAAGAAACAAACTCAAACTCCCCCATGGGCCATGGGAGCTTTGTTCAGTCAACCCTCCAAGAGAACTGAGGCGACTGCGGCGCGATTTTGGCGATGAAGGCGCCGGCGGAGCCCGCGGAGCCGGCGGATCCGGTCGAGCAGAAGCCCAGGGGAGGTGTGCCCTGCGGAAGGATCGGTCTGTTTCGCTTTCTGTGTTCTTTTCTACTGGGGAGGGGGGAAGGGGGGGGAAGGGGGTAAAGGTTGTTTTTCTTTTGGGGAGGGAGGGGAAGGGGGGAAGGGGGTTGCTTTTCTATTTCTTTTGGGGGGAGGGGGGGAGGGGAGGGGGATAAGGTTGCTTTTTGGGTTCTTTTTTTTTGTTGGGGGTGGGAACCGATTCTTTGTTTGGCTGCTTTTTGGGGGAATCCGTTTTGGATCAGTGCCATGGGGGAGCACCCACCTTTTGATGGGCTTTGGGAACTTGAGGATACTTTTTTCAGTTTGGAGGTCTGATTTTGACAGGGGTCACTGGATTTCGCCGAATCAAACGATCAATTTACTGGTGGTTTTGCTTGCAACGATCGCCACTTTTTGAGGTTCCCTTCAAAGGGACATTGCTCTCAACAAAAGCCACTTTACAACCAACCCGCTCCCTTGGGAAGCAACTTTTGCAGGTTTCCTTTAAAGAGAAATAGCTTGGAAACTCTGTTTGAGACAAACCGTTTCCACAATTGCTCGAGCAGAATCGTTCAGTTCCCCCCCCCCCCCCCGCGCAGTCGCCATCTGAATTCCCTTCGGCTGTGAGTCACTGGGCGTGAACACAAAAGCAATAGGAGGACCTTTCTTGTGACTTCGAGCCAAGACACAAACGGGTGTGTCTGTTTTAGGACCTTTTGTTGGGAAGGCGAAAAGCAAAAAGGGACAAGCAGGGCATGTTGGATTCCAACCAGCATGACTTGGGGAAAGCTGCAGCAGGGCCTTTCCTGATCCTACCAATCTCAAGTCCCCCCCTTCCCTCAGGTCATGCCAACGCATTCATCCACTTTAATCCATGTCACAAGATGCTTCAAATCTAGGAGCCCGTGAAGGACGTGGTGACGGCAAAGTAAACGCGGAAAGTCGCGCGAAGAGTCGCCGAAGCATGACGGAAACCGGGCATCAGCGACAGCCATTCCGCACAAGAACCAACCATTCACGAACAGATTTGCGTCCGAACAGTTGGGGTCCCGATCCCCGATCCCCATGGATTTTCAGACCGCCTCATGTCTCCGTGAAAATCACAACATGCCCAGCGGCCGGCCTTGGAGGCGCCTCGGCCTCTTGAAAGCGGTGGGACATGTGGATCCGAAGCCATTTCGCAGCACCATAGGAATCCGTGGTTGAAACCATAACGTTTGTTGGCTATTTACGTTGGGGAATCATCCTTCCAGGGTTTCGTAGGAAAATTTCGTCCATCCGGATGTAAGGGTCCCTGAGAACAAAAGAACAACTGGGCTTGTCTCACAATGGGGGCACCCTCCAAAATGCATGGGGTTCCCTTGGGTCCCTTTTGAAACAACGCCAAAACGGGCACCCTCCAAAAAAGACGAGCCGGCAATTGTTCATGAGTGCTCCATCCTGGCTGAAATCCCTTGGCCCCCCTTCGGCGGACCATTTGACCAAGGGGCCTTGGGGGGGCCGTGCCGGTGGGTGGCGCTGGTAAATGAAGAGAACCAAACTTGAAACCCCTAAGTGGTCCTTCGGTCTTGATGCACTCCTCTTGTCGTAAAGGACGAAGAGTCAATGAGTTGTAAAACTAAGGAAGCCACCTAAGGCAGCCTCTTAGGGGCGTGCCCATCCACTCACCCAGTCCGCAAAGCCTGCCATATGGACTTGACTCAAAATGAGGTTGGTGTCCAATTCAAATACGCCGAGAGAGGTACCCTCAACGAAAGGACCCACCCGTTCTCTAAAACTAACAACCTGCCAAGCAAGTTCGACATCCCGAATTGGGTTTCCTCGCGCTAGCTGTTCAGCAACATTCAATGGATTGGGGACACCTTGACAATAAACAAAGCAAATTCCTGCATTCCTGGGTGGCGCTGGAGCTGATCCTTTACACAAGTGCTGCTTTCATAGTTGGTGAAGTGCTTTCAAACCAGGTGGCCAATGGTACTCAGTAGCTCAGCCCTTCAACTTACCGCAGCAAATGAGACCAGCGACACCTTGCGGTCAAAGACATCCAACGGTTCAACGAATAAGCATGCATTCCCCTGGCTGTCTTCAGATCTCATCCCCGTAAAAAGGTTCTTACTTCTTTGTGAAGATGTCTTCCCCTCTGGACGATTCGCTGGGAACCCGAACCGCCAGGTCCTTGGAACTCCCCGCGCGATCCGACGCCCCTTCGGCCTGCGGCTTTTCCAATCGCGGGGGCAGTGGTGCAGCAAGCGGCTCCACCTGCCGAAGGCCAAGCTCGGTCGCTTTTTCGGGTTGAAACCCGTTCCAAATGGCTGTGGCTAAAGCAACCAAAAAAAGTGCCCGCAAAACCCCGCTTTTGGCCAACAGTTGATCTCCAAGTACCCGTGGGTGTCATTGGGTGTCAATCTTGAGTATCTGAGTGTTCCGAAAATGAGAAATCCCTGTTTGGATGGTGTCAAACAAAGTTGGACACCTCCACAACATGGCTTGCTTTCATGTCGGCTTCCGCCAGGTTTGCACAGGGGTCACATAGCCGAACCTGAGGGTGATAATGACTCTAGACAGCAAGGCACAAACTCCTGGTGACGTTCTCAATGCACATGGGCGCATCGGCAGCACTGGCAAGAGGCGCTATAGAAAACAGTAAAGACATGTTTGTCATTGTTTGTCGTCAGAGATGCAGAAAATCTCAGAAACCAACCCTGCAACTTCAAGAAGCCGATCTTGAAGCCAATCAGTTGGAGGCAGGCTTCCATTTGGCCCAAAACTAGACTGAAAAAACAAAAATGCAGAATGCTCGTTGACCAGCTTGGACACATACCTGATCGCTTTCCCAAACGGCCGCCATGAAACAAACTGTAGCTTCTATGCTAGTTGATGTTGGAAACCCCCTTTATCCCCCTTTTTCCAGACTTTCCTTTGTTTTCTAGCTGTTTTTAAAGGAACGAGAAACACCTCCTCCCCAAAAAGTTAAAAACATGGAACAACCAAAGCCCCCACCAATGGCTCTCTCTTCACGCCCGGAACCCGACACCCTCCGATCCCCTCGAGCGACGCGGATCCGCCTGCGGGGGGGAGTGCAGCTTCTCCGCCATCGCCAGCAGGCCCGACACCTCCCAGGTCCAGGGCGTCACCGACGTGTGGAATCGAACCAGACCGCTGAGGGGATTGCACCGGTCCTCCCTTTGTGTTTATATGTGTATATGTATATATATATATATGGAAAAACACCGTGCTTTTGTTTGTCCCCTGGAACGAATTGGAAAAACATGTTGCCAATAGTGAAAGATTGCCATTGACAACCAACAGGGGAGCGTAAAACATGGTATTAAGCAAAGGGAAATTGTCCTTTCCACTTGCCAGGGCAACCCGATTTTTGACCCACATGACCACATGATGACATTCGTTTTTGGAGCATTGGCCCCCCAAACATGGCGTCGGTTGTCCATTTGGTTTGCCTTTAAAACCGCGCAACAAGGACAGCCATGCGGCGATTTGAATTTGAAGGGATGCCCTCCAAAGTGGCCGGATATGACTCACCTACATCATGTCCACCCCGCGCTTACCTTTGGGATCTAGGTAAGCCACGAAGCTCATGTACACTTCAGAAGCTGTGGATAGTTGCGGAATCCGTTCGCGCCACGCAAGAAGCCCTGGATTCATATGATTCCACAACGTAAAGAAAACCAACAAACGTTTTGGTTTCAACCGTGGTTTCATTTCGTGGTGCGCAGTGGATTTCGCAACCATCCACACTATGGAACCCAAACAAGGTATCTGAATCGCGCGGAACAGCCTTCAAAAGCCCAGCCGGGACTCCCGTCTCACTCACCCGCACGAGGGTTGATCAAGTTTCCCTTCGGCCCCCGGCCATGACCTTGGGCCAACTTTTCCTGTGTGGTGGAAATATCAAAGCTTTTTTAGTGGGTTGTCCAACTCATGGTCACCCCGAATCTGGACCTTTGGATCAGCCCCCAGTTGCGAATCGCTGCACTTCCAATGCCAGGAGGGAGCATGCTTTTGAGGAGCGCTCAATTTGTCCGAAACGGAAGGCTCAAAATGGCCGTGTCTCTTTTGAGGGTGCCCAGTTTGGGGTCTTTTGGAAGAGAATCCAAAGGAAATCCGCAATTTGAGTGGGTCCCCCCGAAAAACAAGCCACAAACAAATTTGGGGGTGGACGCTTTCCCACCCGCGTTGAGACACCATTGGTGCAGCCCGCTGTGCGACTCGCCTTCGCCAGCTTGTGAGGCCTTGGCCGAAGGGGGCAGCTTCCTTTTGATGATATTCTTGGCACGGCGACCCAGGCCGGATTTCACCTCGAGGGGAGGTGAAACAATCCTCATCCCACGGTTGTCAGGGAATTCAGGGGACCCTTTCAAGAGGTGGCACCCCAAAAAAAGCGCCTCCCTTGATTCCAGACAGCCTGAGTTGGCTCAGCTTCCCTCCAATTGGTGATTTGGAGCCGACCGGCGGGTTGGTGGTGAAATGGGGTGGTTTCCCAGTAACCCTCTACAAGAACCAGTTCAAGTACCCAAACCACTTGAAAAGGAATCAAAAGGAAACTGCCAGGAGGGGTCCTTAATTGGACAAACACCCATATTGTGGGAATGTGGCTGGTTTGAACGAACAAAACCGCAGGTAACCACGATTAACCAAGCATTGTGGGGGGGTCCAAGTCCCACTTTGGCCAAAACGAAGCGTGTGGATAGGGTCACGTGCCGCAAATATCCTTCCTGCTCACGCCAGTTGTAAGCGCTTACAAAACGTTCAAAGCTTCAGTGAAGTTGACCTCGCTGTTGTCCCAACGTTCAACTTGTCTCTTTCTATCGGCAACACATCTCTTGAGTCCCAAAGCTCTTGCCGGCTGGCTCTATATGGAGAGGTGGCCCAAGCCCGCTGAGATTCAGGTCCACATGGTCGAGTCAAGCTCTGCACAGCTAGCACAGCTTCTCTAACTGACACAAAAGCGACGGACAAGAGAACGAGCCGGACCAGAACTCGGGCCACCATGGTTTGCTCCTGCAAGCGCTTGAACACGACACCGCTTCCCTTGCAGAACCTGCTCCATCTATATAATAAGAACCCCAAGCAGCAAAGAAGGCATGTAAGAACACAAGCCGTGTTGCAAAGATAATTGGCAGCTTCAAGTCTAGATTTGGAAGAGGCGTTCTCCAAGCTGCTGTCTTTTTTGGAGGACCGACTGAAATGGCGGTTTGTCTTTTTTTGATGGTCCACTCTTTGGCGGTGGTGTTAAAAGGAAGCCAACAACCCAAATAAAGGACCCCCCGGAAGCACCAAGCCGGTTCCATCCGCTGAGGGACTGGCGGTGCGGGCTCGGAAACCACCGCCTCCCGTTTGGGAAGCCTTGCCGACGGCAAAACAAACAAATCCGAGCGTGTCAGTACTCGGGCAATCACAGAGGCGATTGAAGCCTAAAAAGCATGGAAGTGCACTCAAACCTTTGTGGAATAGAACGATGTCATGACGATTGAGGATTGCAAGCGCACCAGGCCCTTGTTGGTCATGAGACGGTCAACCCTTTTCTGTTTGGCTGTTGGACTAAGTGAAGCTTGCAGTTCCTGAAGCGATGAGCAAAGTCGCTAGGCCCTGGGATACAACCTGCATCGGCAAGAAACTGCGCACACCAAAGAGTGGCGAAAGCCTCACGGACCGCGTCGGACATATCTTCACTAAAGGCATGCAAGCGAAGATCCGGAGCTATATACTATAGAATGGAACTCTGTATAGCCAGCCTCACATCGTCACCTTCTAAAGGCACAGGAAGTCGAGTCAAAAAGCCAAGGCATGTGAGCCATGAACATATTTGACAAACCCCTAAGGAAGTGGGGCGAATTTGAGACAGTCCCGGGTCCCGTAGCGAGAAAAGATCCTTTGGATTCATAGAACCAGCTGATGCGTCAAAATCCAGGGCAGTCCAGAGAAGCAAAGGCTGCCAACCCTGTCAAGCCCCAGCCCCAGCTTCATAGGTTGTGTGGTTTGATCGCAGGTTAAAACTTTTGGAACTTGTCAACCCAAAACTCAAGTTGAAGTCTATCAGTCCAAACTATAACGAACATTTGGAAACCTTAGCACAAGAAGTTGGCTGTTCCGGGAGCCTCCAAGGTTGAACCAATTGCAGCTTCGAGCTTGTACTTGAATCTGAAAATGGGGACTCCCCCCTTCAAAAGGGACGGCCGGATTTGGAGACACACCCATATTCATCATATCAACAGTGTTGAAAATGTTTGCTTAACATTTGGTGGTCCGTTTTCTCCATTGTTTGAAACAATGGAAAAGGAACAACGCCGGCTGATTCTACAAAAAAAAGGACGAGTCACCTGGAAAGGACCCAAGTAAATAGCAGTGTGTCTTGAAGATGGCACATCCATGTGTGGTGTCCGCTTTCGGCCAATGTAATTTGCGGCTTGATATGTCTTTCGACTCGGTCCAATAATTCGCAAAGGACCTTTCGAGTGATGACGGTTGAAAGACGTCCTTTCGAGTGGCGCGAAACGCGAAAAAGGCGGGAGCAAGCAGCAAGCGGCAAGCGGAAAGCACGCGTCCGCCTGGCCACCTCTTGATGCCGGGCGCGCTGCTGAGCTACCAGCAGCATCCGCCTTCGCCAGTTTGAGTTTCCCTGAGGTTTTGAAAAATGTGGGTGGCTCGTTTTTTTCATCATGGCACCAATTGTTGGTTGGTTGTACAAGGAACCAAAAGGAAACTGATGCCATGCTGGGGGGTCGTTTAAAACGCCCAACTGAAAGCTTCCCAAAATGGACATCGGCCCGCCTTTTGGTTGGTATTTAAAGGCAATTTACAAGGACACCGTTCATGTTGGGGGACCCATCTTGTGAAACGCTCAAATATAAGGAATATGTTGCCTTGCTGGTTTTGTGCAAGGAATCGGAAAAGGAGGGAATCGACTCTCCCGCAACCTGTCACGAGGCTTGCCCCCAGCAAAAGCACAGAATGCAATGGGTCCTTCATTGACCACACCAGAACTTCCCAGTGTCAACCTGATGGTACGCCGGAATTGGCTAATGTGCCCAGCGACAGGGGAATGTTTCAATCAAGGCTAGGCAAAAACTGGACTGGAGCAACCACATCCCTTCACAACTCGCTGGCAGCCAAAGGGTCCAATGTTGCTACGAGTAAAGCCAGCCAAACCAGCTTTGTGTTTCTGGTGGAGGTCTTGCAAAAACGTACTTACGAATTTGTTTCACGCCGCAGGATGGCGTCGCTCTTGCGGTCGGGAGCGCGGCCCCTTCCACCATAGAACTTCCACCATAGACCGGGGCGCGGCCCCCCCGAATACAAAACAGACATACCAAAAAGCACGTAACATGCCTGTGCGTAGCACGTCATTATTCTGGCACCGGTTGAAATCATAATTAAAAGGGACATCAAAGCACAAAACATGGGGCCCACCTTTTTCAAGTCCTGGTAATGTTGCCTTGTGTGTTCGAGGATGTTGTGGAGCCTGAAGTCCCCTGCGAGGCCCTAGACCTAACCGCGGTCATCGGCTCAAGCAAAAGTCCCTCCCTCCAGTGCGAGATGCTGTCAAACGACCCGCGCGTGCCAACAAATGAGTACAATGGCACAGGTGACACTTTCGGCCGTCGCGTCACCTCCTTCACCTGCCTTCGTCTCCACGAGGACAGGCTCCTCCATCCACAGCCGAAAGGAGTTCCGAAGGCTGGTGAACATCTTGGTGAGGACGTTGGCTCTCATCACTGATCATGCCTGCGCGTTTCTCGCAGCCACGTCCAACCACCCGCTTCTCCGCGAAGGAAGTTGACGGCCTGTGAATGCTGTCGAAGAGGCTCCTGGCGTCCGTCACACTGGTACAATAGGCGCTGGGATTCAGTGTGCATACCCAGCATTGTCTCCGTCCAGAAAAAGGCATGGGTCACAGTCCACTTCAGGCCCGTCATCACGTACCACACTGTAGCAGCGTCTCACAGAATTAACTTGACCAGAGCTCGTAGATCTGGCACGGCCTGATTGCTGATGGGATCTTGAGGTGGCCGCGCGAAGAACTTGGTGGGCTGGTCGCTCATCATCCGGCTTGCCCTGCAGAAAAGCACGCTTGCAGTCGCAATTGTGAAGGTGTAGGCCTGCTGCAAAACGCAATACGCATCGCGATTATCAGCCACTTGTCAACCTTGTCGGCTCTCTGTTTTGCGATCACCCGGCAGCTGGGCCACTTCATCCACTCTGCCCACTCGTCTCAGCCTGCACAAAGTTCGGGACATCCTTGGCAGGAATGGCCCGCCATGGCATCTCACGCTTCAGAGCCTGTCGCCAAGCGCGCGTCAAAATCGCTGGTTTTTCCGGATTCGGCTTAGTGGCCGTCTTGTTCTCCTCAATGGGGGCGGCCTGGCTGACGTTGTTCTTGCCGAAGATCGGCTTATGCAGACCTTCACCGGCTGCGCCAACATATGCTGGTGTTCCCGCTTGACATCTTCAACCTCCTCCAGAGCCAGCCGTTGCCGTCCTGGTAATTCAGGAAGAAGCCCGTAAAGGGACGCGCAGTAGTTGCCGACGTTGTTCGAACGCCCCACCTTCACCGAATCTTCCAGCAAGTTGTCCACCAGAAAGGCATTGGCCTCATCTTCCGCAAGCTGTTGCTGCTGGCGAGCTTCATTGAGCTTCTCGGCAGACGGGAGCCGTGTTGGCGCTGAAGCCAGGCTCGTCCATGCGCTCTTCTAGGCATCGGCCATCAGATCTTCGTCGCAGAAGTTCGCCTCTCCAACCTTGTCGGTGAAGTCAGCACACATGCAACCACATTGCAGTAGCGTTTCTTCCCGCTGCGGCACCTGTTTCTGAAGCGCATGCTTCACAAGCTGTCGCCGAAGAGGTCGCCTGACCACCGGGAGATGCCATGCGAGATCTCTTGGCCTCGGGCAGTGCCAACTCCGGACACTCCCCGGCGGCAGACCAGATCGTGGGATAGACGACCTTGGCGACTTGGCGTTGATGGTGCCATGCCTTGTGTCAAGGGTGCTGTAGCTGGCACTGATACCGTAGAACTTGTTCGTGCTTGTAGTTCGTGAAGCAGGCTCGGCATCAGCGAACCAGAGGCGCCGCTTGCGCTAGTAAGTCTTGCCGTGCTAGAGGTTGCGAGTGGAAGTCGCACATGGAGCCAGTTGCCAGTGTTGCTGATCATCTTCGAGCTGAGAAGCAGCCTCTCGACCACCCTCTCGATTGCGAACTTCTTGCTGATGTCGTCCTCGCTGCGTCGAAGTAGCGCGAACTCGTTGTTGCCAGGGGCACGAGAAAAAACAAAACTAACGGGAGGGAAACCAAACTAACGGGACCATCCAGCGACCAGCTTTGCCGTGATCTCCTCGGCAGACCGGCTCTCCAGAACTTCAGCCACATGGTGGGAGGTGATGTCGTCAACCATCGAAAGCGAAAGTGTGAGTGACGTTCTCAAGGTCCATGACATAGAACAGACCCATCAGCAGCCGGTCATTGAAGGCACAGGGCAAAGGAAGTGCAGCCTGCTGGTCCTGCCTGCCATGGTGGCTTTGTCCTCTCACACGTGCCGCGTCGAAGAGCCTTGGCGCCAGCGTGCTACAAAAAGACCCGCCAAGTTGGCTTTGGAAGGGAATATTCCTTCATGCGCTGAGCAGCAGCACTACTACATCCTACCGGAACCATCACCTTGGAGTCGGAGGCTGAGCAACGTGGCTGAGAAGTTGCGCCGGAGACGCCTACGGCAAGGCCAACGGGCAAGCCGAAGCTGCAACCTCAAGGGTGAAGGCGGCGGTCGAGTTCAAGCCGTGGGTGCGGGGTGTTCTCCGTAGACTTCACATGAATCTGGGGCACCCTCAACTTGGCCCGACAGCTTGCTCAAGCCGGAGCTGGTGATGCACTTTGCCTTGAAGCCCGTCTTCGTCGGCGTCCCAGCCCGAACCGGCATCATCCTCGGCGCTAAAGGTGATGTCCTCGTCGAAAAAGAGCAGCGCCAAGACCTACCCGCAGCTAGCGCCTTGTCATTGGCTCAAGCAAAAGTCCCTCCCCTCGGTGGGAGATGCTGTCAAACGACCCGCACATGCCAACAAATGTGTACAATCGCACGAGGTACCTCATGTTTCAAAAGGAAAACCGAAGCCAATTTGGGGTCCAACCTTAAACAAGACACACCCACATCTGCATGTTTTCCTATAATTCCAAGAGCTGAATTAAGAATTGGATCCGCAGGTAAAGAACCTTTATCATGGTGAGCTCATTTTACTTCAGCTGAGCTCGCCAATACCCACCTAGCACTGGCCTCATTACGTTACCATGATCAAAGTCACCCCCTAAGTCATGGGTCAAAGGGAAACAACCCCATTTTCTGACTTTGATAACCCCTAGAAACCGTCAAAATCATGACCCCAGTAGCATAAGATCAAGGCATTGAGTGTGGGCCGCCGGGCTGCACTTCTGCCTCACTGGCCTCCCTGGCAACGGGGCTGAATCCAGCGGGCTGAATGGGGCAGCTTTGGAACATCAGATAACACTTTCTGGCATAGGCGTCCTTTTAAGGGAAATAGATGGGTTTCCCTGGTAGATGATTAAACCACCAGGTAAACCAGGAATCGCCATCTATTTTTCGAGCAAAACAACCAAAAAGGACACCTATGCTTTTTGGATTTCCTGCTACCCTGTTTTGTGCCGTGAAAGGGAACCCCACATTTGAAACAAAAAAACATGGGTGCGGTCTTTTCGAAGTTGCCAGCCTTTTTTGTGGCCAAGGGAAACCACAAATTGAGAAAGGTGCCATTTCGAAGACTCCAAATCCTAAGAATGACACCCCAAATGCCAAAAATCAAGCAACATGTGCTCCGATTGGATTCACATCCCGAGGCAGGCCGGGCCTGCCTAACGCAATCATGTTGCATGTACTATATGCGGCTAAGAAACTATGGGAATGCAAGTTTAGGGTACAAAGCCAAGAAATGACCATGGGAAAATCATGATAGCAAGTACCCGGCCCCTCGTATTTGCAGCGCCTTTGCCTTCAAGCCGTACAAGTGCTACTGGCCCGTTGAAGCAAACGATCGCAGAACACCAAGCAACGGCTCGCGCGTTCAGTATCCGATCATGCAAATGGGACAAACCTGGTAGCCGATCTTGAAGATGTGCCTCGTGCAGCATTGAGCTAGAGAACCACCACGTATGCTGTCTTCGCCATTTGTGCGGTAGCATTCCGACGTAACATCTCGAAAGACGCGTCAACCTTCCCTCGCCTCACACCTGCATGCCTCACGGACTCCGACGCCAAGCAAAACCACCAGTTTTCGCACGGACCGCGGCCCGCATCAACAAGCCACTCGTTCCTGGGCCCTCAGATCCCCAGCTGCAAGCTTAACTTGTGGGTTAAATGCACATCCCCACTAAACACGTTTAGTGGGCCAAAAGGCGAAGTTGAAGATGGCTGGCTTCGCCAAGAAATTCGCCGGAGCCTCTCTCATGCCCCGTCAATCCGAATCGGGACCGACAGGCCTGGGAGGCGGCGCCTCGGAACACCGAACCAGCGCGAAGTCTCACGGCGGGTTTTGGAGAAAACCGACTTGTGGCCCTCCAATTTTGGAGTCCACGCACCATGGACGTTTTAGATCTGTTTGAAATCTGAGAAAAAATGAGAAAGCTCAGAAGATGGGGTGGGAACCCGTGTATTTCTTTATATCTGTTGTTGTCAATCATATTTGAAAGGATAATGTTGCTTGAATATGCTTGTTTTCCATTACGATTGATTCAATTTATCGTACATAAATGTATGGATTTGTTTAACACCGCAATTCGATACTTGAGGACCCGCCAACTCAGTTGTCAGTTGGTGGATACCTAAGTACTGGGAAACTAGCATTGCTGGGCCCAACTAGTTGACTGAATTTGCAGTGATGCTTGCGCTTGTTCCTCAGACGGGGCGTGGGAGCTTCCAAGTGATTTGATGTTGTGTCAAAACGGGATCCCTATCTCTCATAGCTTTCTCTTTGGATTCCTTTTTGGAATCAACCCACAGTGGGTACCCTCAAAAAACGAGCCCCCCATTTGGTATCCGCGGCAAGCAATTCTCCAACCGAAGGTGGGGCGCTCGGGTCGCAAGCTTAGAATCCAGGGAGTGCAGTCGCTTTGGACAAGCGAAGTAGAGTTCGTTGTTCCGGCTGGGTCCATGTACAAGTTGCTTCCACTGGAAATCGACTTACGTGGAACCACTGGGAGACTCCGTAGACTCTCAACTTATCTTTCGCAGAGATTCGGTTGGTCTTTGCCCAGTGATTCCGTTTACCTGGTTTCGTTCGTGAGGGGCTTGAACCACCCAATAGAAGAACCAAGAAGAACACCGCGAAGGGTTCCCTACAAGGGCAACTGAGATCCACTAGGGTTGAATTGTAGTTGAATTGAATGGCGCGATGTTCGTCTTTTCAACGAGGATTCTAGCGGAAGTGAATTGCGCGAGTGTGTAGTTTCTCCGGGACTCTTTTCTTAGACAAGGGTAGCTGTTGAAGGAAGGAGTTTTAGCTTGTGAAGCCGAGGTTAGCATTTGAAGGATGTGGGGTGTTGAATGGCTTCGTAGTGCGACTGCAGTGCTTGAGAGCCGAGTTTGTGGTGTTTGACTCCGCGGGTTTAGCGCCGGCAAGCTGACCTCACAAAGCCGGACAGTGCGTGGGTCTTTGGCTAAGCTGAGCTCAGGCTAGACAGCTGTGAGCCCGAATCAGCCCAGTGAAACGAATCTGCGATCCCTTTGCGATCAGGTGCGAGCCATGGCCATTCGACTGCTCCTCTCGACAGCCAAGATGCAAGGAGAAAAAAAGTTCAGGGTCTCCAAGTGTGTCCCGAATTTGGTCACAAAGGCAATGCGCGAATCCGCCGAAACCGGACGTCTGCAATCAGCCTCCTGCTTGGTGGTTGGGATTGGTGGCTTGGGGAGTTTGAATCCCTGGTGGGTAAATGGGAAACCACCCCCTATCCTGAAAACCGCCAAACCGAAATATAAATTGGAGGGAAGCTGATGATATACGGAGCCCCTTCAAACACCACGCCAACCCGTCGCTGGGCGTCCGCACTGGGCGTCGCTCACGGTGTTCAGATCGCTCCTGCATCATATCGCGGCTTAGAAATCCATCTACCCCTGGAAAGCGGGCGCCCGTCCACCGGCACACTCAAGGTTTGGAAATAGGTGAAAGTAGGTAGATGGGCAATTGGTGAAAGATGGACCTGGTTGGGGGGCGCCTATTTGGGGTAAAATGAACTATACGGTTGGGGGGCGCCTATTTGGGGTAAAATGAAGTATACGTCACCCAGGGCTAGCGCTCTCCTCACGCCGAGCCCGCCGCGCGTGCCTAGGTCACTCGATCCGTCAGAACCCCCGGCTGTGAAGCACTTGGAACGTGCGACTGGAGAGGTGTGCGGATGTGAGGAAAGGTCGATATATACACATATTTGTATACACACGTGTATATATATATATACATATATGACGGCTTCTCACAATGCAATTCGGGGGAAGCCAAAAGGAAACCCTTCTTACTTCCTGAGTGGATTGGTCAGAAAACAGTCTCAACTTGCTTTATCACTAAAATGGACCTCCCAAAAGTATAAAGTCCAGGAACTCAGGGCGCGATCTTTGCCATATGGGACCATTTTGAGAAGCCCCCATTTGGTCAAGAAACGGGTCTCCAGGCAACCAGCTCTGTGATGTCGCTTCCCTGTGGAGCTTCTTTGCAACACACGGCTACTATCTGACTTTGCTGTTGACCACTCTAAAGTGAGCATATTTTTGTGGGTCCAATGGAAAATCCACTGTCTCCCAAATGTTCAAGTCCAAAGATCCAACTAATTAGCCATGAAGCTATACTTGCCCCGCATGTGATTATACACATCCTAAAAATGGGTTCCTTTCCACAGTTGGTCGAAATCCCCACTAAAAGGGCGCGCCCCCCCCCCATTGATAGAACCCGGAGTTCCTGTTGATCCGCGCTTCCCATTTTCCAACCCAAAGCCGGCTCTCTCCGAACCCTAGGCCGCGTACTTCTCGTACTCCTCAAAGTTGAAGGTCTCAACCTGAGGAGTTGAAGGCCAACTCTTGGCGATTGCTGGGGTCAGAAAAACTTATCTTCAGCTTCTGCTTCATATAGGTCTGTCTTTTTGAGGGTACCCGTTTTTGGTGGGTTTGAATTAGACATCAAAGGAACACCGCCATGTTGGAGGGGTTTCCTAAAAAAGTCGCACCCTAGTTGATCTGAAATATAACAAAATGTTGGAGGAGCCCCGGTTCTTGTACCCTTCTCAAATCCGTAGGTCCCTCGGAATGGCAAGGGTGTCCATTTGACTTGGCTACCAACCAACACGGGAGCCGAAATGACTTCAACAGTACCTGGACCCTTAAACCCTAATAAACCATGGTTGATATGTCCAACCAAAATAAAGGTTGGTGCTTTCCTTTCTCACTTCCTGACTAGGTCGGCTAAAAAGGTCCAAAACGTGTTTGCCATTAAACTGGCCACAATGAAAAACCTAACAAGTGCTTCTCGAAGGCAGCTCGGGAAGTGAGACATTGTTTGAGGCTAGTGGTCAGGTTGACCCCAGATTAATACACCCCTGTTTATTCATATGAGGGGGTGTCCCTGGCTTTAGTGGGGATTCAGACCACTTTTGGAGGGGTCAAACCCCCCCGCCGCCCCCCCCCCCCATATGAAAATAAACAAGTTGGTTCTGCTTCATCCGGGGTCAAGCGACCTGTGTCCAGGTGGACAAGTCTTCTGCTGGGCTTCCCGAGCGATCAGCTTCGTGTCCACCCAGCGGCCGTTGTGGAACTCTTGCCACCGCTCCAGCGCGCCTTTGGCGGCCTCCGAAGCCATCGAATCGATTCGCCCACGGGAATGATTCCCGGGTCAGAAACCTCCAGGCAAAAGGCGAAAATGGGGCCTGTCCTTCCCCCACAAAACTATCACACAAAAAAACTCATGCTAGAAAGGAAATCTGGGCTCTCCAAACTGATCCCTTGCTAAAAGTGAATCACGTTTAGTGGGGTAAATAAGCAAAGCCCACTAAAAGCCACTACAAACCCAAGTTGAACCGGACGATTCCCTGGTTCCGAACCGCCAAGAAATCTAATGACGAGGGTGGTACCTTCCAGCTCCTTCTGACCGGACGACGGAAAACCCGACTGTGCCATTGGCTTAGGGTTTCGAGGTGAAATGGCACATGCAACGTGGCGTCGATGCTTCGGAGCTGGACGTTCAAATGGGGGAAGTGTGGAACTCACTCAATCACCAGTCAGAAGTATGTGCTCGTAACCTGCAGATTTGAAGTCCAGCTGGAAGCTACAGAAACAAGAGCAGTCGCAGCTCACAACAATGCAACTACTGGACATGGGCACAAACGAAACCTTCAGCCGCAACCGTGGCAACGTGAAGCCAGCTGGCTTCGTAAGGATAAGCGGCTGCGTCGAGAAAACTCATCGGAGCCCTCTCCCATTGGAGCCCCTTAACCAGGATTGGTCCCTTCCAAAGACCCGGCCGGGCAGGCCGGCACAAATAGAAACCTGTGAGAAGAGCAAAGCCAAAGGACCCAGTTCCAGTTTCCCCTTTTGATTTGGGCGTGTCTTTTTTGTTGAGGGAACCCTTTTTGGGCTGGTACAGCGAAACCAAGGAAAACCAAGGAAAACCACCAGTTTCTTTTGGGAGGTCCCCTCAACAAAGGGACATTAAAAGAGTCCTTTGAAACACTTCGGAGAGCATGAAAAGCGGCCAGCGAGCCACGCGGGTCCCAAGTCCCGAGTCCCGAGTCCCGAGTTCGGGCCGGCCTTCTGGCAAGCAACCCCGCGGTCGTGGCCTGGCTCCGGGCGCTGTGACTTGGAGATGAGTGGCACCTCTTTTCTTCGCTGCTGTTGACCCCTCTGCAAAAAGTGAACAACTGTTTGCGGGTTTAATGAAAAACACCTTGATTTCCCAAAAAGTTAAAGTCGAAAGATCCAACCCAATAGCAATCGAGTTTTGGGAGGGAAGACCACTTCAAATCGGATCCACCAAACTCATGTTCACGGATTGATCAACCAGTTCATTCTTTTGGAGGGTCTCCCATGTTCAAAGGCAACCGACAGGAGCAGTTTTCGGTGTTCGTTTGGCACCCCGGATTTTTCCGACAGGTGCGTTAGTGTTCATTGACATTCTGCCCAGCGCTGAACATGGAAACCCGTTTTCTCGGTTGACATGTTGGGGTTCTGAACTGAAGGTGCTTGAATCCAAGGCTTTTCCCAGAAATGGCCAGGCCCCTCGTTGGTTCTATGGCTAAGGAGCCAGCCAAACCATCACCCTAACCCTGTTGACCCTGTTGGCCTTGGCCTCTCGTGCCTGACCTCCTTATCGACCTTGAGTGAGGGCCATGTACCAACCAAGAGTTTTCGTTGCTTTGTAAGAGCAAAGGTATCAATCAGGGTTACAGGTTGAAACAATGCCACAAAAGGATTCCTTGAGATCCTGCACTTCTCAATTTCTCAATATGGCCTCGGAATGCCTGCCAAACAGCCAACGCACAGAGCAAATGGCATCCAAAATCAAAGGAGGAACAAAGCGCCACCTACCAATTGCAGGATTTCGGGACCCATCCGCAGTTCCCAGCCAAAGGCGGAAGAGCGCGAAGTGGCAACCTGCCTTCCTGTGCGGCTCGAAGCAAATCTTGGTCACCTGGTGGCTTGTCAAATGGAATTCATCTGAGCGGGCAACATTTGCCATATCCCCTGTGGATGTGTGTGTGTGTGTCAAAATAGCAAACCCCAAAATGGTGACAACCTGGTTTCCTTTCAAAACCAACCCCAAAAGGGAATCTTCAATCACACACACACAAAAGAAAAAGAGAGCATTAGTTGGACCATAAAATATCAACCCCTCCCCCAAAGTTGGTTTTCTTTTAGCTTCCCTTTCAAACCCACCAACCCCCCCAACGAAAAAAAAAAAAAAAAAAAAAAAAAAAAAAAGACAAAGACAAATAATCACAACCTGGTTGTGTCATGTCGTTGTTCTTCCTTCTTCTTTTTTTTTTTGGGGGGGGGGGGGGGGAAACAAACGCCCTCCTGCAGGGTTAAGGGGAAGCCTCAGAGGCCTTCCCTTCGCTTTCACCGGACTCGGCTCGCACGTCCCGCCGCCCGGCCGCCCGGGCTCCGGGCCAACTTTGAGTGGCGAGATGGCCCAGCCTCGCGCGGCTCGCGGTCGAACGCAGCCCAAGGAAGTCACGTGGAACCTCACCGGTTCTTTTGTTGGGGGTGGGTCTTAAAAGACGATAGTCCCCTTTGAAAGGACCGGGTTCCATAAGAAAAGGGTGGGAGGGAAACGCACCCAAACCTGGATGTAGTTTGCTTTCTGGGAAAACATCAATAATATGAGTGCTTTTTGGCAGGCATCTATTTGTTTGTGGCTTTGAAGGAACACTAACAAGAAAACCACCAGGCTGCTTTTTTCCGGGGGGGCAATGTCCACTAAGCTTTGGAAAATATGCAGCACGGGGTTTTGCAGCAAGCCTTGACAAAAGACACCATGGTCTCACAGGCTGTCATTTCCTCAGAGTGCAGCATCGTAACCATGGCATCAGCATCAATTTATTATTCTTCAGCGTTAGTCAACGTCGAGAGCACATATCAAGCACTACATCGAATATCGGATCTGATTGGCACAAGCGCCGAAGCGCCGCAGTCTTCCTTCTGTATCTCCCTAGTCCACGCCAAGCCATCTGGCTTTGTCTCAAAATAGGAATGAGAACCCCCAGAATGGGTGGATTCCTATTGGTTGCCCAGACGAACACCATCCCAAAAAGCACCCGCAAAAAACTCAAAGGCCCAGTGGATTTCCATGGAAAAGAAAGGGCATCCTTTCTTGGGTTGGCTGAGTTTAAGGGGAAACCTTCCTCCAAAAAAGGCAAAAGGGACGTCACTGGGCAACAGAGAAAAGGACGAGCCGCCCATCTGGTCGCCAGTCTCTGATCTAAGGCTCCGGACGCCCCGAGGCTTGTTTGTACATGAAGGTGGACACGTCTTCTGAGGCAGGGAAAAAAACAAAACGCCAACGTTCCCTCCGAAAAATCCCCGAAAAAGAAAACACACAAAAAAACAACAGAGGCACGCAGATTCGGAAAGGCAAAACAGCAGGTCAAGCGTGACACTGATCCTTGGACAGATTTAGCTAGTCGAGCTCAACTTCAGCAGCGGGTGCTGAAGCTGAACTGCCATGGAATGGAAGGTCGGGAAAAATCCACCCCGTTCTGGTTTCCTCTGAAAATGTGAGCACTCAATGCCGTATATGCGACGGAAAGCCCGAAAAGGAGGGCACCTGCATAGAAATTGGGGCCCTGGCAAAGGGAATCAACCGATGTTCCACCGCATTCTGGCGAGAGGGCATGTGCAGCTATCTCGAAGACCTACACACCTGTCAAAACTTCCTGAACAATCGCCGCGGGAGAAAAAAAAAGATGTCGTGCCTATTGCTGCTGTTCAATGTCGACAAAGCAGACATGTTCAACAACCCGAATTCAGATTCACACATGGTCTATATTATGGACATTTCAGGGTTGGGGCGTGCAAACTTGCTCGATCAAAGGATTTGTCCGCTTCGTGCGATGTTAAGGGCATATTGAGCCGATATCGCCATCTGCCTTTCTCGTGGAAGAAGGCTGGACCGCCGATGATCACGCAGTTGTCGCCTCGGTAAGTGCTGCTGAGAACAAAACATGGAGGAGCCCTACCTGTTTCTTGGGCCCATCAAACACAGGCTATCGCCTTTACCCCTGATTGGTGGTTTCGTTTGGCGGCTTGGACGTCAAGGGGGACCTTCCCCATTTGGCTTGTTGCCTGAAAAGTAGGTGGAGGTCAAAAATAAAGCCCCGCAGAACTGCCACATCCGAGTTTGCCATGTTGGTGCAGATTAACCTATCTCCCCACCCAAGAATGGAACCTGGCCCTGCAACAAATTTGATGTCTGTGTCCGAGGATAGTGGATAGCTCAGCTTGGCCGTCTGGCGGGTGTCCACGGCACACAAATTGCTATGCCTCCTCGGGGGGGGGTATCTGATTCTTGGCGGACTGACAATTCACAGTAGGTGTCTAGCGAATCCTTGAGGACAAATCGTTTGCTGTCCAAGAAGTATTCACCCGAAGCGACCAAGTGGGTTGGAAGGCTACAATCACATCCAAGGCGCGCACCGCTTGAAGCAGGGCTTACCTTTTCGAGGCTGGGAAACCAAAGGATGCCAAATGATGCCAACTTCTGCACGGGCAAATCGCAAGCAAATCAGCCTGTTACAAAGAGCAAAAACAGTCACCCCCTGTATTTTAACGTTTACCAACTGGAATCTCACTTTAAACTTGGCCGTCCAAAAGACGATGTTCAAACCATCCAGGGGATCTAAATCGGAGTCGCCTAGGGACAATCTGGGACCTGGCGCTCAAACTGGTTGAGCCGCGGGCGTCTCCGGTACCACCCATCCTGAGCTCAGGGAAGAAGCGGAAACACATAGGGACGAACTCAAAACCCTCTTGGAATCTTCCAAAAAAAGGAATCGGTTCTTGGAAGAGTTCATCGTTTTGTTCTTTTCATCGGGCGAGTTGGTGACTACAATCGGATCTAGGCAGAAGATATGATTGAGGGGCCTGCAAGAAGGTTGGTGTGTGGGAGGCTTAAGGAAAGTCACCCTAATGAAAAGCCGAATCGAGGCACGCGTGGAACATCAAACCAACACATCAGCCTGTCGTGCGTAAGGAGAAGCAAGGGCTTCCTGCCTCTACTAGGCTTAACACTCAGCACAGGCATCAGTCTTTGAACGCTTCTCTGAGAGAGACTTGTAGTTACAAAGTGTCAAAGCAGAAACGTGCTACAGCCCGGCACTCTGCTTCGACAATTCGCTATGGTACTGGCTTATGCCTCCAAGGCGGCATTTCTCAACAAAACTTGTCGAGAATGCGTCTCGGCATGCTGCCTTGGAGGACATCTTAGATTGCCGAACCAATGGGGGAAGAGGCATTGACCAATTGCTGGATGTTCGCGAGTGCAGCACAAGCATCAGACTTTAAAAGCTTCTCAGAGTCGCAGCTGCGAAGTGTTTTACGAGGTCCCCTTTATTTTCTGGACCATTCTGGTGGCTTCTGAAGCTCCTGCTTTTTCCAGTCGGTCAAACGGGTTCCAAAGATCCGATGCCCACAAGGAAAACGGAAAAGGCTGCTCCAAAATCAATGTTCCACCCTTGTGCGCGGGTCATCTTTTGGGAACTCGCCCTGGACGAAAATTGCAGGCGGCCCTTGTTGGGAGTGCCCGCTAACCTTCACTTACCCGCTAGGCAAAAACAACAACAACAAAATGTGAACTTTAATGGGGGACCCGACATGGTGGACATTGTTTGAGCAAAGGGGGGTCCAACAATCGAGTGTTTGCTTCTCCGTTCGACCAGTGGCCGCCTTTTTTGCTACCTTTCTTTGGGACGGGGTCTGACGGGGTTGAAAAGTTGCCAAAACTTGCTGGTGCTCAGCAGGGGCATGAGAAATGGAATGACACCGCGATGAACCATCCAACTGTTGTTTTCCTTTTTTCAGAATTTTGCGAAACCGGTTCATTCCAACTCACTCCCTATCGCACCACCAAGAAAGGCTGAAATTTCCCTGTCAAAACAGGGCCATCGATTCCCTTTAAAACCAATCAGGAAAATCAAAAACACGTTTCAGCCAATAAAAGTTTCAGATCTACCATGGGTCCACGGGTTCGCTCCAACCACTTCCGAGCCCAGCCGAGGTCGAGCCAAAGCGAAGCGGCCAGCGCGGGCTCGTGGAAGCCCTCCACGCGCACCGCCACGGTGCTGCCAGGCACCGCCTGCGGAGGTTGCGAGAGCCGAGGTGTGGCACGCGCTGCCACGGACGAAAAATGTTGGACCTTGGGCAACTGGCTAAAGATACGTTGGACCTCTAATGGCAACTGGGGCCTCTTTTGTGGAAAGCTGTTTGCCTAGTTCAGGATCCTGTGACTGCTTTCGGGGTCCTCTATTGTGGAAAGATGTTTGACGGAAAAAGAACAAAACGGGGAAAAAGCAACTGGCCAAAAAATTGTGGGCAACACGGGCAAACATTAGGAAGTGGTCTCCAAACAATCAAATTCAAGATGACTCTTTACAAGAAAGTAAGGGCAAACAGTCACACAAGGGGGTTCTCGTGGCTCTTGGGGCGGGGGGGGGTACCCCAAATCAAAGACAGGCATATTGTCAGTTGCTCGTGCGGCAGTTTAATCGTCCCGCCTCGCGGCCGTGCTCCTTGCGCTCGCCGCGTTCTCCGCGCTCGCGCTCGCGCAGCGGCTCGCGCAGCGACTCGCCGCGCTCGCCAGGAGCGGCCTGCATGAGTAGAGTGGTGGCAGTGCCGCTGGGGATGGCGTTGATTCATTCAGTGTCATTCATTCTACTGAGGCATGTCATTCTTTGCCAGGAAAAGCAAGAAGATGCCCGTGCAACATTTGAAACTCATGGGGGAAAAGCTACTCAGCAATCTCAAGGAATGCGGGAGGGATGTTGACTGTGCAAGTACCATCAACATGGAAGTGGCGGCTCGGCTCCCTTTCAAAGGCTCCATCCGATGGATTGAAAATTTGCGGCTCGGAGCCGCTGCATAGGAGGCAACAGTTCAACATGAGGCAGTTTTACTTAGTTCTACTACATAGTGTTCTCACCACAAACATGAAACACCAAACAACTGCAAACACACGCGCACAGCGTTCTGTGTGCAAACATATCACGCATAAATCCTTCCACTTCAGGCAATGCGATCAATGCTGTGGTTGAAATGCAAGTTCGAGGCGTAGGATGGTCAAGTGTGTGGGGCACATAAGCTCTCGCCCTTAGTCCTGAAGAGGCCTACTTCCCACTAAAGTAATGTTGGCTTCACTGCAAATGTCTGTCCCGATCAGCCAAAGGCAAACAAGGCCATGTTGTTCCTAGTGGATGCAAACACAAGTTGGAACCCACATGAAGCCCTGCGTAATGACCAACTTCTTGTTGAAGAGCCTCCCCGTCTAAAAAAGAGCTTCTACACTTGGGGAGTCAGGGTACCCTTTTTGCGGTTTCTTCAAAGGGAAACAAACAAAAACCGCCCATCTTAGGGTTCTCACATTTTGAAACATACCCATTTCGCCCCACACACCGGTGCGCCTCGTTGGGCGAAGGATGCAGCCCGGACAGGCGGTCTGACCTCTCGACAGTGGGCAACAAAACGCTCGCGTTGGGAGCCGGGTAGAGATTCCAAGCAGCAGTTCATCATGGCTGGACCGCGCTTTGGGATTCTGTGATTCTCACTTCCTGTACCACCGACATGGTCTTCCCAAAAAGTTTCAAGTCCAGGCACTCGGGGAGTGAGCTTTGGGATTGTGTTGTTGAAACACATTGGGTTGTTCAAAGCGGGTCGGAATTCAAAGGTCGTTTGTCGGAAGCAGAGGGGGCCAGTTCCCCAAGCATTCTCAGCTTCCTTCCAGTTGGTGGTTTGGATTGGTGGTTTGGTGGTTAGGGAGTGGTTTCCCATTTACCCTCTGCAAGAACCAGAGGTTCAAATTCCCAAACCACCAATCCAAACCACCAAAGGGTTACCCAAGGATTCCGGATTGCCTCACAGCACTTTTGCACCAGCCTGAAAGTGCAACACGTTGGCCACAATGATCTTTGATACGGACTCAGGCGAACCAGTGAAGGGGTGGGAGGGGCAAGGGAAGGGCAGTTGCAGACATCATGAAAACCTATGGAACAAAAAGCAATTCAGAAAACAAAGTGGACTCAGGCTGGGGGGTGGAAGGGAGGGGGAAGGGAAGAAAAAAGTGTCCTCTGAGGCTTCACTTGTTTTTTCCCCCAAGTACAAGCTGAGTCAAAACTGAGCCTGCAACAGTTTTTTGTTTTGCTTTTCTGAGTCTGCAATCCAAAGCCTGCAGGGTGTTGTATTTGGGTTTGCTTTTTCACCCTAGATATTCTCCCTTCGCAATGGGGTCCCTTCTGACACGTCAAAAACCCAACCCTATTTTCAGACAGAAACATATGTTTGGTTGACTTGCCGCTCACCATGAACAGGACCTCTTGCGTGCCAACAACGGAGTGGTTAACGTTCGACAGCACTCACTCACTCACTCACCTCACCTCGCCTCACCTCACCTCACCTCACCTCACCTCATGTCACCTCCCTGTACGTCACGTCACGTCACGTCACCCGTCACGTCACCTCACCTCCCTCACACACTCACCCACAAACACCCCCACACACCCAGACACACCCACACACACACACACAGACATGGCGCTGACCACCATGTGTTGTTTCTTGGCCGGGGACCAAACGGAAACTGACTTCTGTTGCTGTTTCCAAGAAGCGCAAGCCGCCCTCTCCGAGTGCGCCTCTTGTCGGTCGCCTCTGCTCGGGCCTGGCCAAGGCAACTCACAAAGGTGCTTCTTCAATTTTGGGGGCCCCAACTGGGGCTGGATTTTCGTTGGTTTCCCTTTGTAAACCATGTAGAGTCCCCAATGTCGGGACATCCAACGATACCTCGCCGTAAGATAGCTACCCCAAGCAAAAGGAAATCCAATTCAAGTTGGCAACCGCACGGTGATGCTACCCCAAGGGAGCATGGGGACTGCGAAGCGTAGGATCGTGAGCACAGCGTATAGGTGTTGGTTACGTGCGGGTGTGCTGCTCTCATTCTTTGTCAAACATCAAACCCTGCACACGTCTGCAAGTCTGCAATGCTTCTGCTAGCCCTTGGATGGGCATTGCTCCAAGAACACAAACATCCTTGACCTTCCGTCAGCGGGGCGCTGCATCTTGCGGAGGGATGGCTCTGGTTGCGCCCCGAATGTTTTGGGAGACTTGTTGGCTTCCATGTTCATTGATGGGGAAGTCGGAGTAAGCTCCTTGCAACTTATTCCCCAACAGCTGATTCAGCTACGGGGTCCATGGGCCCACATACCATGGCAACATGAGGCACAGATGACCCAATCTTCCAACTTGAACCACCTACTGTATTGACTGTATAAATTAGATATATATATATATTCTATTATATATATATTGGGTAATATCTATGTTCTGTGCAAGCTGCACGTCATGCCACGGATCAAACAACTACCGCTACTTCAAGCTCTGCGGGGCAACCTATTTTGGCCACACGGGTGTGAATGTTGATTGGAGACCCTTTAGGTGGGGATTCACGTCCAACCGCTTGAGGTCGGTGGTTCCGACATAGCGAAATATGCTGCCAAGTGCTTCAATGTGCCAGGTGAGCCTCAATAGCCTTGCTCTTTTATGCTGTTTCCACCTGCTGAAAAACGCACACCTTTTGTGCCGGAGAGCATTGGATGAGAGTAGATACAAGACGACCCTCGGACAATGCACGCTTGACTTGCCCAAGCACAAGTTAACCCCAGAGAAGCGACTGGTTTTGAGAGTAGCATCCCACAATTGTGCTCGTAACTCAAGGAGCTACATAGCGCACATGAAAGCAACACTTGCGAAGGCACGTCATTTCTATTAACAATGCACAAGTCCACGACTAGCACAGGTGCCGGGGGTATTCATAAGACACACTTGTAATTCATGATAAACTGGGGGTGTGCAGTCGAGCAGAGACTCCTGCATACGTGACTACATTAATGAGTATGCGAGGTGCCAAACCTAAGGCCTTCTGAAATCGCCCCAGCTTTGACAACTGCACTGCATCCGACTCATTGACCTTCAACTGGGCACACCTGACCCCCATTCAAAGCGACCTGCACAGAGGAAGCGTCCCTTGAGTAATTCTGAGCCAAAACAAACTGGGGTCCTGCCTTAGACACGTACAACAGGTTTGCCTTTTTCTTGCTGGTTCGATAGGCAGGGAATGAGAAATGGAATGACCCCATTCAACCTTTTTCCTACGGTTTCCTTTGAGGGAATCCCTTACATCCGGTTCATTCCCAACACCCTGACTTGCTGCCCTACCAGGCTTGTGGGATCAATGGGTGTGCCCCCACTGTGATAGGAAATCGCCCACCACATAAATATGGGTTCGCTTTCTCTGGGCTGCCAAGTTGTTTGTTCACAGACTCGTGGACTCCATTTCAACCACGGCCCCCGTCCCCTATCGCGCGCGCAGGTCTTTTTCCACCCGCGCCATGTCCGCGGCCGCGCCTCCGGCGGAGGCTTGGGGCTTCTGCTCCTGGAGCCCGGGCGCGCCCGGCGCGCTTCCGGGGGTTGAGGTCACCAGTATGAGGCTTTTCTAAGGTTGGGGCCCCCCAAAAAAAATGAGATTTGCCTTTTCAGGTGTCCTCTAAAATCCCGGCGAAAAGGGTATCCTCAAGAAAGGCAGACCCATATGAATCATTCCCATACTTTGGCAGAAAGGGGATTCCCGGGGTACGAAATCTTCCACCATGCTTTCACCTCACGAGTGACTCAAAGCATAGAGCCCCAGCAAGGCAACAGCCGGTTCCGATTCCCACTTGTTTCTGTTTGTGGTTCTCCCTTTTGAGCCCGACATTGAGTGAGCTGACGGGTCTTGCCATCCGGCGAAAGACAGATACATTGCCAGACTTGACTAACTGTAAGTAACTTACTTGCCCTTCTCCTTTGGATTTTCCTTCTTGGGAAGCAACGAGTGCACTTTTCCCGGGCTCTCAAACTCTGGCGAAGGAATTGAGTTGACGATGGGCAAACAAGATCTCATCTTGACAGGGGCGCTTTTCTCATAAGCTCTGTACAAGATGAGCTTCCAGGCGAACTTGACTCATTTGATGTTCGTTTGTTTTGGGGCAAACAGGGCCCCTAAACTGAAGGTCCACCTCCCTATAAACACAACCGCACCCTGTTGCCTTTGTAAGATTATGCTAGTGGTTTGGCGGGACATTGCTTCTCGCGAGCGGTTATGGGGAAAGAAGACAATCAAACAACAAGAGATATAGTTGTTTCTAGCAAAACCAGGATTCGCAGCCCCGACCCCCCTCGCAGCGCAGCTCGGTGATTTCCCCTCCGCACTGCATCAGCAGAATGTCGCCTCATGCGACTGGATAGCATGCAAAAACATATTGCATCTGTGCCACCCAGCTTCCAAACCCCTTGACGCGGGTCTCGAAAATCCCCATACATGCTTTGCCAGGCTTCACACCCGCGGAATCCAGAATCCAGACATAAAGCTTCGCACTTTGATGAAGCCTGGTTGTTTTCTTGGCTGGCTTGTTGTCATGAATGTAAGCAGCGAAAAATGGAACCTGCTTCTTGCTGTCAAAGGGCAAACCTCTCTCGAGATCAAATACCTCCCCGGCATTTCCCAAGCAATGCTTCTGCTAGACGATGTCTGGCCCAAACTGACGACTTCGACATTCCTTCGTAAGGGTGGTTTCTCGTAGCTGCATTCGGGTTAAAGGGAAACCCAAAGGAAAACCGAAGCCATTTTGGGGGTCCAAATCCTGAAAAAAGGACACCGATTTTTCCCGAGTGGACTGGCCAAAAAAGGTCCGGGAACTTTCTATGTACAACTAAAAAATGAGGTGTGGCCCAAAAGTATAAAGTCCAGAAACTCATGGAGCGAGTTTGTTGCTTGCCGTTTCGGGAGTTGTTGGCAGCGACTTGCAACCAGAGCCACCGTCGGCCCAGCAGCTCAGGCATCCTGAGGTCCGCATGCGATGAGCGAGAACGCAAATCATAGGCATGGCAGCATGGTCGTTCGTTCCCTGATGGTTCAGGTTAACCTTAATTGGTGTGGATTTGGACTGAGCCCCTGGCTGGTAGATGGGAAACCACCCCATTTCACCAGGGCTTCAAACCACCAATTAATTAGGGGTGCTTAAACATGCCAAAAGATTGAACCCCGCGTTTGTAGAGGGTGTATGGGAAACCACCCCCATGGCCACCACCAAACCACCGGGCTTCGAACCACCAATTAGGGGCGGCATGTATCTTCCATTTGCTTTTAAGTCCGAAAGTTTGTCCATTAGTGAAATCGATTCCCTTGAAAACCAACAGGGGCAACTACAAAATATATTCTTATACAGCAAATGGAAAAAAACGAGTGAGGGACAGATACCTTCCCACCCTTTTTCATATGGAACCTGACGGTCGGCACCCGGCGTCAGGTTCCATGTGAAAAGGGTGGGAGGGTAAGTCCCACAACAAGAATATATTATCTGGATCCGAAGTGATCAAATGAGTGCCATAGCAAATGGGTGCCAAGCACCGGTTCTAATCAAGGGTCAAGGATATTCATAACATCCATGGTCCAATGTGCTGTCTTAAAATAGGGTCCCCTAAAGTTGGTAAGTTGTCCCTTTGGATTCCGAGTAAAAAAACCACTCCACACAGGGCGATCCGGAAAAAGAAGAACAAACAAGAAGAAAAAAAGAAAAAACAGCTAGATTACAGCATCCAGCATTCTAATTGACAAGGGCTCATTTGGCTTAAGCTTGGGACCGCAAAGAGCTGGTAGACCTGCGCCCTGAACTTCTGAACTGAGCAAGCAAAAATGGGTCCCGCAAGAATAAAACAAAAACATTCGGGATGCACAGAAGCATAAGTAAGGTTTTCTGCTTCTGTTTCATATTTAGTCTACCATGTCAAAAGTGAAAACCAGTTCTGGTGGAGAGTCCGCAAAAAAAGTCCATGTCCTGTTTCATGCAATGTTAACTTCGGATTGGTAAGAAAATGATCCTTTTAGGGGGTTCGTCTGACTGGTGCCGTGCTTCATCCGAAGCTAACCTCACTTCCTAAGTGGATTGGCTAAAAACAGTAACCAAACTTTTGGTTTGCCACGAAAACGGTCTCCCCAAAAAGAATAAAAAGTCCTCAACCAACAGGAACGCCACCATTTTGGGGGGTCTTAACAACAGTCAGAACCATCCTCTCTTTTGGACCATTGAACAACAACTGCTTGACACCACCCGAAAAAAACGGGCCCAGGAGGAGATTCCTCCGCCTGAAATGCCCTGCTGCGTGTGCCCGTTTCCGTTTCCGGCGGCGAAAAGGAGCGCAGGGGACTCGATCGAAGCTTCGCAGGGGCGAAAAAGCCGGCACGGTACCCAGCGGTGTGCCGCTTTAGGGGATCCCAAGCTGCCGCAAAGGCGTTCCTTTCGGTGTCCGTTGGCGAAAAATAACACCTTCCTAGATAGCCAAGGTGCGATCGCTTCTTGCAGTGACTGTTGCTGCTCTTCGGGGGTAAAGTGGATGGAAAAACACAGCCGCTGGCGATCCAGGCCATGACTTTAGGGGGGCCCAACCTAATCGAAACTCCTTTCCAAATGGGCGCTTACCTTTCCAAAGGCCTTTGAGGAAGGCTCCCGGGTTTTTGTCTTGGCTTCGTCCCCGCGCCTTGAGATCCTGAAACTGCGGCACCACGGAGTCGTACAAGATGCCGCAGGTCCCGCAGACCTGCGGCGCAAAGCGATCGGTCGCGTGCCGGCCGGCGCGGGCCTCAAGAATTGGATTTCGAACGGGGTGGCTCGGGTTCCTTTTTTGGGGGGGTCCCCTAAAAGAAGACCCACGTGGGGCGAGGCACTTTCTCACCACCGACAAAGTCGTGGTACATTGCCGGCCTGGTTTATGGAGTGGCCACAAAGCTCCAGCCGCCGGGCGAAATTATTGTGACCGGACTTCCCCGTCCCTTCAAACTAGGAACATTTCCCGTGCTTTGTTCGAAAAAAGCGGGTTCCCCGCTCCCCCCCTGAATGTGGGCCTTCTGCTGACCTTGATAGAAGCAACAACCAAAAACTGCCCTAAGAAAGTGGTGCCTGTTTGAGGTCCAAACCCTTCCAATGGAGCTTCTGACCCCTCCAATGTAGAGTGCCATGATTCTTAGGCTGGCACTCAAGGGATACGGCTCGTCTTCTTTTGCCGGTACCCGTTTTGGGCTGGCTTTTTAAAGAGGAACAAAGGAAACGTACTTCCATTTGCTTAGTCCCTTGAAAAAAATGAGAACCGTCTTCTAGTAGTGAACCCGAGTCCCTTTACACCCAACCCAAAAATTAACGACCAGACAAACAGCTCCCCAAATGGAAGTCTATTTTGAGCCCACCCCATATTCACCTCCCCCATCGACCGCGCCCTTTTCTTCCCCGCCTGGACCTCCTTGGGGCCGTTCTTGCACGCCACGCCTCGGATTCGGATCATCGGAGCGATTCCGTGGGCGAAGTGACTTGCGATCGCTGCGAAATCGGTAGGGAAGGAGAACCCAGTGGCTCGCTTTGGTCCCCGAATAAAGGAAACCGCCAGTTGGATGGCTTGTCTTGGGGTCAGACTCCATTTCTCATTCCCTGCTGAGCATCAGCAAGTTGGAGTCATGTGTTTGGAGATCTTAGCCGCAAGTGGCCAGCGCATCCCCCATCTGAGAAAACCACCAGCTTAGTTGCCGGACAGCTTCTTGTGTTTGGGCATTCAGTGGTGTTGCAATACACATCGCTGTTCCTGTACTGGCATCGCTTACTCTCGCGTGTCTTCGTCTCCTGATTCTCCTGGAAGAATGTCCTTCCGAATAGGGGGGGTGCTTCAAAGGCGAACCAAGGAGAATCCCCCAATTTTTCAGGCACCCCCAACTAGCCGGGGCTGAAGGGTGATTCTGGCTGTTGATATATAACAGCTTAGAAGCCTGGTGGCCAAGGTGAAAAAAAGGATTCGCACCATGCTTGCTGGTTGATTTTAAAGGGACACCCTCCTGTCTGCGAACACCCCGGTTCCATGGCAACGCAGTCGGGACCCTACCCAAAAAGGGAAAAGGGCCTACTCCAGATCCAAGTGGTTGACATGGCACCGCTTTGGCACTGGCCAAAGGTCAAGCTACCGGACTTCGCAACCGGGCGTCTGGGATAGACCCCTGAAAAACCCGCGGCTTTTGGCACAAAACAATTGATCAGCTCTTGATTTCTCGAAAAGACTACCGTCCAAAGGGAGAAAAAGGGAGTCTTCGGAGTCTTGGATTCACGTTGGCCCGCCAGACATCGACCGACCGCGCCTTTGGACGGGTCTTTGTCGATGCCGCAGAACTCATCTTCGCTGTAGTGGCGAAGAATGCGGATGTAGCCTCAATTGGGTTCTATCTCAAAATAGAAGAGAACCACCATTTTAGGGGTCCCCTTATCTTGACACATACGCAAATGGTAAAACAAGCGGTTCAAATGGGGTGTCTCAAAATAGGAGAACACCAAAATGGTGAGTTTGCTGTGGGTTGCCCTTTCT